TGTCACTTTCAGTGCTTTGGTATCTTTGTGTTTCATGTTTTACTATCACTAGTAAAGAGGCAGGAAAATTCTGTAACAGAATATTTCAGCTATGGAGAAGTTCAGTCAAATTTTTCTCAACTCAAATTACTCTAGTTTATTTTAAAAATTATTATTTTAATGCATTCAAAAGAATACGTGTAACTTTGATGTAGAGTGTAAAACATAATAATAAATGAACACTCATGACCCCTGAACACTCATGAAACTACCGGTTAACCTAAAGTCTAAAATATTACCTATTGCTTTGACACTAACTCTTATGTTTTCCTTCAAGCGCATCCCCTAATTCCCCATTTCCAGAGGTTACCAAGATCCTGAATATTATGTATGTCTCCTGATTTTGTTGAGAAATAGATTTACTACATATATGTATCCATAAGTAAAATGTTTTTTATTTTGCTTGGTTTTGAGTTTTATAAAAAGTATCATGCACCTGAAACTTAAATTTTTTGCTCAACATTTTAAAGATTCCTCAATGACATTTCATATAGCTGTGAGTAATTCACATTCACTGCTATGTAGTATTCCACTACGAATATATCACAATTTACTTACTCATTCGTTCCAGTCAGGGCTCTCACAGGAAAACAGATGTCACTCTCTGTATAATAACTACAATGTATAATTAGGGGCTAACATGGCAATTGGGAGAAATAGGGAGAGGGACCTTAGGAAAGTTGCCACCAAAGGGCAGTGAAGATCTGAGGCAGAAACATCAGAGCAGGGGAGAAACCAGAGCTCCAGGCAGTTCTGTGAAGCTGGATAGGACTAGGAAGTGGGAGTTTTTGGAGAGATCTACAAAGCCTGCCAGAATCCAGAACTTGAATCTTGTGGAGAGGTCTGTGGGGCTCCTGCACCCGTGGAGTGGAATCTCATGTGAAGATCTGCAAAGTGACCGTGTGTGATCCCCACACCATGCCAAGAATAATGGACTCCAGTGTTTATGTCCGCCTTCCAAACTTCATGCAACTTCTTTTCGTTGACAAAATCTGACACAAAAGGATACCTGGAAGAGGGCCTGGGGAAGAGTTCCAGGATATAGATAGAAGTGTTGGTGATGGTGTCAAGTTGTCAGCACACCGTTCTTGTGTTGATGGGCATTTTCCCCCAATAGTTTTTGCTCTTACAA